AATATTGTACTAAATCCACCTTCCGTAACTCGCTGGATATCTGTAAATTCTTCAAAGGGAATCCACTCTAACCTATAATTAGGGCTATTTCCGTGTGTTGATTTAATTAAATTATCAATATCTGGATTTCCGCTATTAACAGGTTGAAATCCTGCGGAATAACAACTAGTACACATGTCTCCGTTTCCATATTTAAGGCTTCTTTTTTTATTACATCCAGAACATTTTTCAGTCATGTTTTTATTTTTATCGAAGAAAAGAAAAATCAATTTTTGGCAATTTTAAATATTTATCTAACGGTGGGAAATTTCTATAAAGAACTTTGTTTTAGAACATCATATGCAATGTATATGCAATGTATTATGCACTGTATGGAATAATCCAAAAATTTTATAAGAAATTTTGGAAATAACCGTTGCAGAATTTCCCCAAAACTTATACTGCATTCACCGCTTTCCTTCTTTGATTGATGTCGAAGACGAAGCTTTATAATATTTAATACCATTAAACTATTTATATTTTACAAGTAGTCCGTCCACGTATACGTAGATTATTTAACAGAAAACATAGATTATGTGCAAATGTCATCAAATATGCTGCAAAACTTGAATTGCTTGTTGTTTTGACTAGATTGATACAAAAAAATTTCAATATAAAACTAGCGGGTATTTATTACGACAGCCGATATTTAATATTAACTTGTTAAATTATTTTTCAATGGACTTAAGAAAGTTTAAGACTTCTTAAGTACATGATAGGAAAGAGGATTGGATTTGTTATTTCCATCGTCTTTTATAGTGATTATTTAGACGATTTTATGTTAAACCTATAATTGTTATGTACATGAATTTATTGATTAATCAACAAACACGTCACTTGTTATACTGTACATTTAAAGAGAAGTTTACTAGATTCGTGTCCAAAAATTATTACCATTTTGTCTGAGACAAGTGGACTAAGAGATGTTAGATTCAAGGGTGGTACGATCAGTGAATAGTTATTTGACGATGCATGCATACCAAGTGCTTCATTGACAAAAATGGTTTGATCATTAGGCACATTCCTCAAAAGGTCCACTCCGTTACCACTACATAGCGACCTGATATCTGTATGGATATTTCCGTCGTGTTTCGATATTTAATCGGTGCTCAGAGTAGTTTTCTATCAGTGAACGGTTGTGTAGCAACGTAATGCTTCGTTGAAAAGATGGTATGATCAGTAGGCGCACTTTTTCGAATGGTTCATGTCTTCAGCATTCTGCTATTCGTAAATATTTTACACAATCAACATATGAAAAGTATACGCAACCATATTTGAGTTTTTATTTAACGTTTCCTCAAGAACACACAAATATGCCTTATAATTTTCTTAATTATTCACATCACAAGTTCACTAATATCAATAGATATCGTATCACGCATATCATCTAAAGAATAATAATATTAGAAATAACTGAATTGATTTCGGGTTGTTGAGGAAATAATAATTAGTTTGAAGATTTTTTCTATTCTCCTCCCCTGCGGGGGGCAGATACAGGAAAAACCCAAAGAAGCAGATTATAATCTCCAGGAATAATTAAAAGGCAAAGATGGCCAGCAAATCGTTCAACAGTAACAAATCCCATTTCAGTTATTTGGTTCAATAGGTTATGAAGAAATTTATATTTGGTTTTAATTTATTAATAGTTTTTTTGACCTTATCATTTGTATGTACTGTATTATGGACTTTGTTTTTTGGTTATGAATTAATGTTTTAATTTAAAGAAAAACATATTATTAAAAATAATAAATAAAAAGTTTAAATAATTAATATTTTCTTTTAATTGAATTATTATATTAGAAAAGTTTAAAACTAAAATACTTTGAATAGTTTATAATTAAAAAATTTTTATAATAAAATAATTTAAAATTTCATTTACAGTATGTTTTGAAACAATATTTATAAACTTATAAAAAGTTTCAAAAAAATCTTTTTAATATTTAAATAAAAACCAAATAAAGATTTTTAAATAAATATAAATTTACCAGTATAAACAATATATAGTATAGTATATTTTTGAAAATATAATTGTCAATTAATAAAAAAATTTTTTTAAAAAAATATATGATTTAATAATTATTTTTTTAAGATTATTTTTTTGAAAACTTTTTTTTAATAATTTTTTTTTTAAATATTAAATATTTTATTGTTATTAAATTTATATACAGTTTATATAAAAAGAAGATTTTTTTAAATGTTACATTTGCTTTTTTTAAAAAAATTTTTTATAATACAATATACAGTATCTTTAATAAATTTTTTTTATAGAAAAATTTTTATTTACGAAAATACATATACAGTATATAATAATAATTATTATTTTGTTAAACATTCAATTATTTATTTAAGTATATATATATATATATAAATAGACATTTGCAAAAAAACTCCATATCTCTCAGTCAAATTGAATTAAATAGCAATTTATCGAAATGGCGATTTAAATCATATCAGAAAAAAAACTTTTTTAAACTAATATATTATTTAGATCGGATATATCAAACGATAAATTTAATAAGGACAAGAATAAGTTAAAAGAAAAAAAAATTTTTTTAAATGTTATTAAAAAAAGAAAAATTCAATATTGGTAATGTAATGAATTTATGAATTATTAGTGCCATGTTGAAAATAATCTTATAATATTAAATAAAAAAGTGACGTGTGTTATATTTCAAAATACGATTAAAATAATTTTTATACGATTAAAAAAATTTTTTAAAAAAATTTATTTTTGATACCGTTAAATACAAATTATTAAAATCAAAGTGATTAGTCATAGAAAGAATAAGAATAATTGTTTTCGAAGACGGACAAGAGTTTTTTTTTGGCCTTTGTAGTTGTGATCCTAAGATTTTCATTATACTGATATACGTATAATTTAACAATCGGAAATGAAAATTGTATTTCCGCTTTGTCGCCTTCAAAGATAATTAATTGTCCATATACAGTACGTATCTATTGTACACAATTTAATTGATTTTTTTATAATAATGATTAGTATTGAATAATAATATATTATACTTTAACGATATGCTGTAAATTGAATTAATTTATTTTTTCCACATGACACATTACCCTGGCCATACAAACAGGCAAGTTTCCTTATTATTTATCATACCCCCGCATCATTGAAAGTACAACAGTTCCTTTTAGTCTATTTAAATGAATCGGCAAAAATTTAATATTCTTTTCGGTGAAATTTGTTACACTCGATGAATTGAGCGCAGCTATGATGTATTAATTTCCCGAAATAATCGTGGGAATTTTTTACATGTACATATATATACACGCAAATCATCGTGAGAAATATAAAAATTCTAGACATTGCATTTAATTTTCACACCAAAAGATGACTTCTTACACTAACAACGGTCCAAAGCTTGATAATGCAAACTACGAAGGATTCGGTGAGTCTCTTTTGATTTATTTATTTGTAAATAGTTAGGTAGTGATTAATGCTTTCCGTTGCGCAATAGATCATGTCAAGTTTTGGGTCGGGAACGCTAAACAAGGTAAACTTTAAGAGATAAATTATTCTTTTCGGATTCGAATATTCCTAATTTTTGAACCTTGTATTCAGCCGCTTCATATTATTGTACACGATTGGGCTTCAAGCATATCGGTTACCAAGGGCTCGAAAATAAACATCGAGAAGTCGTTTCTCACGCCGTTCGACAAGGCAACATCACATTTGTTTTCCAATCTCCACTAAATCCCAATAATAAAGAAATGGGTTATCAGCTAAATCTCCATGGTGATGGTGTTAGAGATGTTGCCTTCACCGTCGATGATGTTCGAAGCCTCTACAAAAATATTATAGCGAGGGGTGGAAAATCCATTCGAGAACCATGGGAAGAAAAGGATGAAAACGGAGTCGTAATAATGGCCACAATCGGTACCTATGGTGATACCGTGCACACTCTTGTAGAAAGAAGTCACTATCGTGGCGAGTTTCTTCCGAATTTCAAGCCGTTTAATTGCAAGGACCCGTT